AGTCTGGCCAACATAGCGAAACCCCATCTCTACTAAAAATACAAAAATTAGCTGGGCTCAATAGCGTGTGCCTGTATTCCAAGCTCCTCAGGAGGCTGAGGCAGGAGAATCACTTGAACCCGCAGGCAGAGGTTGCAGTGAGCCGAGATCATGCCACTGCACTCCAACCTGGGCAACAGAGCATGACTCTGTCTCAAAAAAAAAAAAGAAAGAAAGAAATGCTCTCAGACCAGTTGGAATTATGAACTGGAGCCCCAGGGACTCAAGAGTTCTATAGATAATATGTAGTTCAGCATTGTTGAGTGGAAATCAGGACAGACCTAGGCTATCTGACTGACCAAGCCTGTATTTCTAATGATAAGTCTGTTCTCTGGAATCTATTGAAACAGAATGGACAGCTTCCTTCTGTCTATCCAGGTAGACAGGAAACAAGACAGCATAAAGGAGTACCAACTCATGAGAGGTCTTCAGGAAAGCTCTGGTAAAAAAGAAAAAAAAATTCCCCATTCCAATTTCTTCAAGGAATTGCCTTTTTTGATTTTTTGCCTTTTCGGTTTGTTTTTTTACCTTTTGTTTCTTTTTTCTTCTTTCCATCCTGCACTGTTTATAGAATCACTTTCTGAGTATGCTATAGACACAGTAATTGGACCTGTGTTTCTTCTAATCTTTATATGATAGTGCATTTCCTAATTCAGGGACCATCCCCTATCCCAAATTCCATCCTGCAAGATGTGAAACCTGTGAGTTCATGTGAATGCGTGTTTGAAGGGCTTGATGCCATGTAGTCTCTTGCGAAGGCCTCAGGGTGCTCTTATGTTGTTGCTTTGCCATTGTCAAATGGCATTGATTGATTCGAGGGACTCAGAAAGTTAGGATAGACTCTGTAAATAATTTCATTATTCCTCATCCTCTCCCTCATCATTTTGTCGATTAGTCATTCTGTCCAGATCACTAAGATTCTTCCTCTACAGGCCCTGCAAAATTCCACAGAGCCCTGATTCTCCACCTGCAGATGGAGTCTCCCTATCCCATTGCTCGGCTTTTCAAGATTCATTATGATGCTGGCAAGTGAGGAATTTCTTAAGTGAGAAATCAGTGTTCATGCCTGTTTACCTCCTAAGAACTCAGTGTAAAAAACCATCCACCCTTGTCTGAGATGGCCTGTCCTTTAGTGAGAAATAAGTATGTTTTTTAAGTTTGTTTCAGAAAAAAAAACAAAAACAAACCTAACCCTGAGTTACACCTTTTTCTTCTCTGCCCAAGACTTTGTAGAATTTAAATTTTATGAAGGAGTGAATTAATAAACAGAATTAAGGTGGTTGAATGGCTCATACCTATAATCCCAACAGTGTGGGAGACCGAGGAGTGAGGATCACTTGAGACCTAGAGTTTGAGACACTAGCCTGGGCAACATAGCAAGACCCCCATCTCTGCAAAAAAATAATAAAGTTAACCAGGCATAGTGGTGCATGCCCATAGCCCTAGCTATTTGAGAGGCTGAGGCAGGAGGGTCAGTTGAACCCAGAAGTTCAGGGTTGTAGTGAGCCATGATCACCCCACTGCACTCTAGCCTGGGCAACAGAGTGAGACCCTGTCTCTAAAAAATAAATAAATAAAAATAAACATAATTACTTGTATAATAATAAAAATAA